AAACGACTCTGGTATGCTGATATTGTATATTAATATATTAAAATAAAAAAACCCAAAAACCTTAAAGACAGTTGTATCAAATCCGATAAATGAAACACCTGTAGGTCAGTAATGAAATATGATTCTCTTTGTGACTGGTAAGAACTGTGGATCAGACTCTTCGTTTTCCCTCTGCAGTTCTAGAGGTGCTAGAAGAATTTAAAATCTCTAGATGGACTTCTGGTATTTCCTTTTATTGAGCGCTTATTCTCTGTTTTAACATGCTGTTTGAGTGGAAGAAGTTTAATAATACAGCTCCACACTGGCAAGGATCATTTCTCCAGAAACACTGAAGGCTCCTGAAACAACTCTAGCAATGTCTGTAGGAACAAAAATGTGAACTGGCACTAACACAATATCTGCCTCATGCAACTACCTGATACTGATTTGGAGCTTCATAAAAACATTCTGACTGACTTTCCTGTACTGCTTATTTCATACCTGATGAGTCTTTGGATCATCCCATTCAAACTTAAGACTTGTCTTATTCTTTCCAAAATGAGTGATGTCTCGTGTTCAGAATTCAAGGCTACTGATCAGAAGGAATCATTGTGGATTAGAAGAAGCAGGCTAAAAACTGGGAAGATAAACTGAGACAATGCTTTTTCAGTCATTTTTAAGGACTCCTATCTTTTAACCAGACAAGGATTTCTAGCAATCAAAGGCTGAAAGATTAACTTTTAGTGAAGTTTGGCCTTTGCAGCACTTGTATTTAACAGCTGCACTGTATAGCAAGAGCAAATTAAATTGGTGTTTTGTTTTACTTCTGGTATAATACAAGTTGTTTGCATTTTGGCAAGCTCCATCTGAAGTAACTGAGAAGGGTTAATTGCAGACCACTGACCTTAGCTAAACAAAATGTAAAGCTCCAAGTTTTGATGAGAAAGCTCCGTAAGCTATGAGCTAACTCTCCTTTATTGAATTTATATTTGCAAGCTTAACAGTGTGAGGAATGATAATCCAAACAAACTAAAGTTTCTTTTGTCAGTAAAAAAAGCCAAGGACTGTTTGTGCCCCATACTTCTCCCAAAGCATGATAATGTTTGCAAGCTAGTCATGCTATTGGGATCGTAGGCTTTGCTTAACTAACACATTACTGCATGACAATAAATGAACACAGCACTGAAAATGTGGGTTTCCTAAAGTAAAGGCCTTCAGATCTTCTGGAGGGCAGGAGGTTCTTCTGCTTTACACGGAGCAGCCAGTACTTCCACTCAGTTTGACACTAAAGTTACTACATATCATCTTGCTCCTTCTAACATTAATAGCAAAACTCTCACTGACTTCTCCAGGGGTTAAACAAGTCTATTACTTTCACTCTGTCTGGAGTAGGAATAGTCTGTTTTGATTTAGAAATCTGATTTTCTCTCACATTGGGTGTGCTTAAAACTCAGAGCAAGTAGCTAAGCTTGTCATGATCCAGTATATATTTAAACTGAACAAACACCTTATCTAGGCTGTGCACAGAGTCAGGATGTAAAAACTGCCTTTCATTAATAGCTCTGCACTTTTATAATTTCAGTAGTTAAGCTAAGTGCATGACTGAAACTGCATGGTATGCCAGCTTCAATGAAACAGCTATTTTATTGTCCTAGTTTAGTTATCTCCAGCTCAGCTTACCCAAGTAACAGCAACATTTCATAAACCTATCAACACTTCCCTAATACTTTCTTCTAACACAGAAGCTGCTGAATCAAGCACCAGACATTGGCTAGCTGATAGTGTTTGCTCTTATGCTCTACTAAACAGTAGAAAATAAATCAAAATTGGATTCTGGTATTGGATCTTCTTCACTTGTCCTCCATTTTTAAACAGACTGCAGTATTTACAAGAGGAGAAAGAACTTGTTCTGTGAGTAGGCTCTGGGTTTTGTTGTTTTGTTGGTTAATAAAACACTCTCCAAACACAACTTAAGTGAGAAAGAAAAGATAAATTGTCAAGCAGGAAATAAATACAAAGAAACCATTTTTTTTACACATTTTTGGGCTCTCACTTCAGAACACAGATTTACTTTCCCCTCCCCCAAGTTAATATCATCTTTCACAAAATGGAGTGGTCAGGTACATTATCAGAAGGAAGTTAAATAAAGTATCATCCAGATTCACTCAGCTATAAAGTCCCGATCTTTCTTTTTCCCCCTCTGCTGGGGAGTTTGTTGGCAACCTCATACTCTGATGATGACATATGAGCAGGAGGTTGATTTCAGATATGTGTTGCTTTCTCCTAAACTTCATCATCTTTGATGTGGATATTTTAATGATCTACTTTTTGGTCAATTTATCTACCTGAATCTGCAACAGCTCTTCAGGGAAGTGCAGGTAACAATGTTAGGGAAGACATTTTTGACTTATTCATGAGTCCCTGCATCAAATAGATTTTCAGTTCCAGCAGTGACTCATTTGAAATAGTTACTGCTGGCAACAGTGGCTGAATAAACTGGTTATATGTGTAAACCCCTACTTCTTGGATGATTTTTAATGATGCTTTACAGATGACTCCTTTCCTCTGACTTTGCTAGCTGACATCATCTTGGGTTCCTAATTCCTCTTTTCCTTCCCTTTCTTCCCCCTCCTCCCTTTTAATTTTTTTACTTCTTGTTTTCAGAGTCCTCTGCTGTAAAAGCATAGAGGAGCGCACCCATGACAACTGCAGATTGTATAAGCTTCCTCATTTAGATTGTTATTTAAAGTTCAACTTTCATGATTAGTCAAATGAATCAAAAAGATAATTGAGAGAGAGAGATTACGTGACACAGACATTAGTCACTACTGCTGATAGTTGGCAATATGGTTTTGTATCACCTATACAAAATGTGTTAGTGTCAAGATTGTATTCACTGGGCATTTCTCTGTAAGAAATTGTCTGGACTTAGAGCAAATTTTCTCCTAGGTTTTTCTTCCATGATGATCATCTTTCCATCTGTTTGTTATAGCTCTCTGTGGCTTGAAAAAGGTGTAAGGAGAAGGTCACTCATTTTTTCAGACCTTGTTCCTTTCAGCTTAGTCTGTTGCCATATGCTTCTTAGTCAGTGAGTGACAATGGTATAACTCTCACCCCCAAACCCTCCTATACCGTTTAACTTATGAGTTATGAGTCTCTTAAGAGTTTTGTTCCCTTCTGGTTTGAAGGACAATGCATTGTGCACTGCTGTAGTTTTGTACACCTGACTTCTCCTGGTGTTAATGAGATTCTGGAACCAGAACTTCTAAAATCTGTTTGAGATCACAAGCTTCAGTCCCCTGCACGATGGAGGCATTCTGTTTTGCAATTTCCTTTTGACATTTTTATCTTTCAAGGTTTCAGGCTTGTTTTCAAATGTACAGAATCACTAGTCTTGAGCTGTAGGCTTTCACTGATGGCCAATTGCTTTTTTTCGTGCTGTAATGCTGTGACTGGCTCCTGGGGAAATAAATTCCATAGGCATCCTGCTCTGTGTTTCGTGACTGGAGCACAATACACAATTACTGTTACACAGCTTTTGCCCAATGTCAAGCTTGTAGCCCCGCGCAAGTTCTGAAGGTTAGTGGTACTCTCAGCTCCAGGTACTTGTAAGTGAAGGTATAGCTTCTAGATATTAATGACTGTTTTTTATAGGGAATCTTGTGGCAAGGATGCATAATATACCTCAGAGCTGGCTTAAGAAACCTGAATAGGGAAAGGAAGTCTATTTTAATATTGTTATCTTTTTCAGGGTCCATCCTTTTGCTCTTTGCTATTGAGGTAGTGGGGCTATATATGCCCACTACTTACTTTAGTGACTAAAAGGGGACTCAAGCAGTATTTTGACCAAAGAAAAATCTTCTTATGTGTCCAAGTGCAGGTAATCATGCATGTGTGCTCTCAGCCTAGTGGGGGGGCTACTGTTTTTCCTGTTGTAACTGAGGAATCTGGGCCACTAAGAAACACCCATAGCACAAAGTCCAGTATAGTCCTTGCCCTTCATAAACGGCTGCAGAAACTTTTTCTGGGCATCTTAATGCTTGGAGGTCATAAATGAATTAGAAGACCCATGTTAACCCCTTCCTTTAAACACCTTCCTTAATTCCCAAAGCCTATAGGAGTGCCCTAACCACTGTCCCTAAACTCCATACGTGTCCCTGAAACTTGTCTAGATGCTCTCTTGTGGAATAGATTTCAGTGCTCCTAGGCTGGGAAAAGACCTGAATCTGAAGCTCACACCGCCTGGGAGAATGCTCTACACATTAAGTCACAGAAAGCTTCCTTTCTGTACAATAGCTTATACAGTGTGCAAGAAAACACCATTTTCTTTAGAAATTACATATGTTAAAGAAATCAGTCCTGCTCAATTACAAAGCTACCCAAAGGAGATGACTGAGTACTCTAGACAAATGGAGACATCCACCTTGCAATCCTCACGCTGGTGAGGATTAACTAGGATATGAATAGGATAAGGAGATGGGATAGGACATTGAGAGCTTCCTGCTCAGCGGTTGGCTTTTCTTTTTTTCACTATACTTGATGTACAGCAACCCTAGGTACTTTGGTCTATCTCTGAATCAGCATGCTGGTGCCTACAAAGGCATTGACTAGGTGGGAAGTCCTAAGTAGTTGTTTTGGGTCTGCCCTATTATGACAGTATAGCATTTAGTAGAGGCTTTTACATAAGGAAAACGTGCAGGATTTTTTTATAATTCAGAAACTATTCAACCACTAAAATGTGTACACCAGATACCTTTAAAAGCCTGGATGCAAATTTATACAGTGTATATGCTTAACTGAAATCTTTTCCTTCCCACAAGAATACCCTGATTTTTTGACACAATGATCACAGCTACTCATATGCTAGAAAACTCAGAAAATCAGTTTGATTCTATCCCAAAGCATATATTAAATGTCAAAAGAATATACTGCTGCAAAGGATCTGGTGGCTTGCCACAATGGAAATGACTCAGCTAGCTTGTTTAAAGAATGATATTTTAATTGCTTTGTAGATCACAAACCTGCCAGCCTTGTAATTTACACTGCTGAAGAACAAGACGACATCTCTCCTTGGCAGATAACTTCTTCTTTTCTCCTACTGCTGTATCAGCCAAATCTTTATACCTAGAAAAATCAGCAGAAGTAGAGTTACTCTAATGTTGGCCTGGTTGACATCTTTGCCGACATTGTCAGTTTTCCTTTGACTCTCAAATCTTTGATATCTGAACTGGAAGCTTAGGATTCTGCTAAGGGTGAAGAAAACAAGGCAGTCAATTACTTTAAATCTTTTATATTACTAGATATGACCTTGGTTAATAACAGTGTGGGACAAGTGATGCCTAAACCCCAGATTTGCTTCCTGTCAGTTCTTTGGATGCCTCACTGAAAATCAATGCAGAAAGAATGCAAAGCCTCACCAACCGACTTCCTTGGTCCTGAATCAGGTCACTGAAAGGAGGAAAATATTTTTTCAGTATGTGTCATATGACATATGCCTATTAAGGAGTAATTCATAAGAAAGTGACATTGATAAAAATGTTTTCCATCAGCCCAAAATAATTTTTCTTAATTTTGAACAAAAAGTCTTATAGCAAAGAGACTTTCAGGAACTTGATCAGTTTACACTATTGGAAAGAAGATCAAGAGGAGACTTGATTACAGCATCGAGTACCTTCAAAGGCAGAAAATGCTAGATATTAAAGGGTTCTTTGATGTACCAGATGAAAGAACTAATGTAGGAAACTTAAGTCATATAAAGTAAAATAAAGTATAAAATTCAAATTTTAACTGTGGACTTACTACAGCATATTACTAAAGAAACTGATGAATTTTATACATCTTGATGCTTCATATTATTACTGTATTTTCTTGAAGGTATTCCTCAGTCTAGATCTGACTGGATGTAATGATCTGGGATGCTTTTTCATTATAAAAAGCCAGTTTTTGAAAAGGAAAGATTTTGCAAATGTGTCACTTTTGATTAAACTCACAATGAAACAGGGGTAAGTTTTGAAGTTTGTGTGCTAACTACACTTCTGCCATTTAATTTATTTGGTTCCTTAACAGCTGAATTCACCTGTAGCTCTGGTGCAACCCAGAACTGTGCTGTCCTGGGACCACTCACACAGATCACGGCAGGCAGAGCTGCAGGGCTGGAGTGACTCCAGGGACATCAATGGTCCCAGAAGCTGTAGCAACTCTGGAGCAATATCTGCAGGCAAACTGCTCTAAGGCCAAATTTCACCTAGACTTCTAGTTTCCTGGAGCTGCACAGACCCTTGGGTATCTCAGCTCCTGCAGTCTGGAAATGTTCTCTGGTCTGGTAGCAGTCCTGCTGAGGCTAAGTCTATACTAGTAAATGAAATGTGAGAGGGATTATTTCTCTGGCATAGAAACCATCTGGCAAAAAAACAGCCTGTCTATTTATTAAGTATTCTGCTATGTTCTATTAAAGTCTGTCACCTTCCAACAGAGTGTAGCCACATCTAAGCTGCCTTCTGGGACTGGTCACTAGCCTGTGTTAATTCCCAAATTGTGCCTAGGAATTGTCTGGAGGAATGCTGGGTGGAAGGGGCCAAAACCTCACCAGACATCCTTTTAGTTAGTCTAACACTCCAGATTAGCAGCAGCAAACTGTGGATCCTACTTTCCCAGTAGCTCAACTAGCTGTATAGTCACGAAGACATTTGTTTTATGGACTGCTATTAAGGCTGGGGCCACCTCATTTCCATACTTGTATCAACTGGATTTTCTTAGAAATCATGGAGAAGCAGAGGTGTTAGAGAGACAACTTCTGGAAAGCTTAGCAACTGCTGACTGAAACGAAGATGATTCAGCATTGACTCACAATGTATGAAGAAGTAACTGTGAAAGTAAGTGGTCAGTCTGAAACTCACTCACAGCAGAAACCCAAAGAAATATATTTCATTCCTGAAACAGAGCCAAATTAAAATTTAAAAGGTTAAAATTCTAAGTTTGGATCAGATTTACTTTAGATCCATGCAAATCACAGGACTCAAAACAAGGATAACCAAACATTCTTACAATCTATTATACAGGAGGCCAGGCAAAAATGATCCATTGTTTTCCCTCACCTTTAAAAGTCCCTGAAATTCCACCACATTATCCTGGAACTCTAATCAGCGTTCACAATTCCCTTCTATCCATTAAAGCAAGCTCTGTCTTAGAAAAAGAAGATGGGCTAATGATTGTGGTAGCAGAGAAAGAGCTAACTATGGAAATTTAATTCTGCCACAAACATAGCAAGTCATTTGGAAGATGATCTGCCTTTCCCTATGTTAGACACTGAAAAGACACTCCAAGCCTGAGTTAGTCATCTTGTTCTCAAAACAGTCTGTGAAGATAGGTGTTTCCATAGGGTGACCTGTTCTATGCATCCTAGATATTTTTATTAAAATGAGAAGAGATTGCCCTCTGGAGGTGCCTTTCTCTACTGACCACAGATGGACTCAGAAGAGAAGTCCAGGCTGGATGCTTGCATTCTGGGTGGCTGAGAAGAATCTCACAAGTCTACTTGTCTGAATGACTTATTCATCTGCAGAGTAACTAACAGAGGGACTAACAGAACTTCCTTATTTCTCCTACCTATCTTGTTCAAATATACTGGCTATCTAAGCACACAGGATGAAAAAGCACCTTTAGGCCTAGTGTCATCATCTGTCATCTCAGATCAATCATTTTTATCTTGTATAAGGCAGCTTAAACAAAAACAACACAAAATTTGTAGCTAAATTTGTAGCTATTTTTCAGCCAGAATGGTTCCCTGATTTGATTCTCAGCCCAGTTGTGCAAATACCAGTGTTAACACCAGGGAAGTAATGGGAACGGGTCGGTGGGAATGAACAGACCACACCTGTTGGTGGCAGCCCAGATTTGTCCTGGACAAAAGTGTTTGTGTAATCATAAGCTTATTTGATTTTTTGTACTTAATTTTACATGAGTTGAAATATTTAAACTTTCTTCATTATTTTTTTCCTTTTGGGGAGATAACCAAACCCTATAGCTTTGGCTTAGGGATTTTTTTGTATTCTAAACTTGCTATTACCCTCAGGAAAAAAATTGTGTTAAAAAGAAAGGAAAACAAAATTGACAATAAACTAAGATATAAAAAATAAATAAAATTTTATAAGTAATACATTATTATCAAAATGCAAAATGACATATCTTTAGTGTATCAGATACTTTCTACTGTGAACTGAGCTTGCATTACCATGTAGACACAATAATTTAATGTCCTCTTAAATTTAACTGTTTCATGGTCTCAAGAATAGCAAAAGAACTTATTGTTTTTCAAATTTACTGTATTGCAGAAAATAGTAATAAAAAATACTGAATTTTATGTTGCAGGCTTGTATACATAAACTTGAGTTACCTTCAAACAACAGGGCTTGCTTCTGGGGAAATGTAACCTGGAGAGTCTTTGAAACTTCCCCTTACCAGAGAATTCCTCCCCCACCACTACAGCCTTAGTTCACTCTGAAGTGAATGAAGAAACCCAATTAAATACCAGGCTGCTTCTCACTGACAGGTCATACATTTTGCCCCAAGTATATAACGCAGAGTGTATTTGTAAGGCTTTAGAGAGGATCCTGAGGAATCCAGTGAGCTTACTCAGTGCTACCTTGCTAAAAAAAGTCTTTTATCAGGCGAACTACACTTCAGCTAAACTTGGATGAGTTAGTTGTCTAAAGAGTCAGTAGAAGCCAATATTCAGGTGTCATATACCCTACTGCAATACTGATGCTTAAAATAGGTCAGATGAATTGTGCACTGTAAGACGCCCATTTCTTTCCATTGAGTAACTCTAGGCTCTTGACTCCAGCATAGACATCTAATATTAGACAAAGTGAATCTCTCTCCTAGCCAAGTCAAGAAACTAATAAAAAGCAATATTTCGTGGCCTAGCCAGAGCAACTCATTCACTAATGGATCCAAAACAAAATACAAAACAGGGGGATTTAAAGGATTAAATTGAATCAATACCCCTCCACCACCATGTCAAGACTAATGTAGTGTTGATTAGGAAATAAATGCAAGACTTCTTGGCGTGCACCCCCCTTCCAGTTACGAGTCGAGCCAGGGAACACCACCATCGGGGGGCTCTCCCCAATGCCCCTCCAGAGGAAATCAGTGTGAGAGAAGCTCCGTTTTCCCCAGCTTTGTCCTTAGCACCCTCTTTGTCCTAACTTGTCATTTTTACACACCTAAACAGAAGAAAGAGCTTTTGGCTAGACAGACTAGCACTGTGAGCATGTACAGACTGGCCAGGATCCTCTGGTGTTGCAGAAGCTGTGCTCTGACCTCTCTTCCTTTACTTCTGAACGATTTTTTTGTTTGGACTAGATACTGCTGCCAATACCTTCAGGTAGCTTGTGAATATGGAAAACTCAGTTCTCTTGGGTCTTCACAGATAAGGATGTTATCTGATGATTTTCTCCCTCACTTCCCTAAGTGCACAGTTGACAAGATGCAGCAAGCTGTTTTTCCCTGAGACAGAATATTCCTGAGTTCAGGTTATGGCACAGTAACCCACAGTAATATTCTCAGGCTCAGCATGCTATTTGATTTACACAGAGTGTGCACAAATAGGCTGTAGGGCTGTATTCCCAGTTCTGTATGCACAGCAAATCTTTAAGTGTTGGAATAAACACCACACACTCAATTTCAATAGCACATCAACATGATAGAAGATACTAATGGAAAGAACGTGGCAAGTACAAAGGGCACAAAAACAAGCAGCTCCAAATCAACAGCTTAAACAAACCACATAGATGTCCTTGAACTGAAGCTTCAGAATGACTTTGTTTGTTCGTTTCTTTTTTGCTATTCTTTTTCTTAGGTCTCTGTCTAGCCTAGCTAAGAAAGAAAGACCAAAATGACAAAGTCAGAGGTAGCTACTGACTGCAATCCACTGCCCTCGGTAAGAGGATAGCTTCTAACACCAGAACTCAAATCTTTGCTGAAAGCAGCTCCTTCTCTCCATGTCTTTGTCTTGTTATTTAAAAAATAAAAATCACATATGGCTTTATAAGAGTGCTAAGTAAGTAATGTAGTTTTAAGTTTTAAATATCCAAACACAGTTTATGCAAGGAAAAATAATGAGT